CGGGGGGATGGTCGCCCGCTGCCCTGTGGCCGGGGTTGGTCAAGAATGACGCGCCCATCCGGGCGCCTGGGCGCGGCGCGAGGGAGCGAGGCGAGGCGGCCAAGGACCCCAAACAAGACTCGGCCCGGGCGCAGGGGCAAGGGGGCGTGCACTGACTGGGGGGGGGGGGGGGGCGAAGCTGGCAGCGAGCCAAGGCGGGCCACGCGAGGGGGCCAGGTCGCAGAGATCTCCGTCCCATCGCATCTCCCACCCTGGGGGACACGATGTTTGGGGGACAGGGAAGCCATGGAGCCGGGGCACCTTGCGAGCCCCCGGCAGCCGGGGCCCCGGGACGCGCCGGCAAGAACAGCGCCGAGCAGGGACCAGGCGGGGTGGTACCCATCGGCCTGGAGACACCGCGGCCGGGGACAGAGGAGCGTGGGGCGCGGCCAGGAGGGCCAGACGACGATCGGCCCCCCCCAGACCACCCTGCGGGGGGGCCGGTGGGGGGGGGGGGGGGGGGGGGGGGGGGGGGGGAACAACACAGGCGGAGCAGGCCCGGGCCGCCCGGCCGCCCTGGCGCGTCCCACCGTACTGGTTGCCGCGGTGCCGTGGTGCCGGCCTGGACGCCCTCCCCTTGCCCCGGGCAGCGGGGGCGCTCGTTGGCCCGGACGCCATGCTCCTTTGCACATGAAAAGGCTGCGCCCTGCAAGGCAGCCCTGTCTGCTGTGGGGGGGGGGGAGCGCGGGGACCAAGGCATCAACTGGCCCGGTTGCCGGCGAGCGGGGGGCGCGAGGGACGCGCAAGAGACAACACCCATCGGCACGCCCTTGCCGGTGGTGGGGAGGGGGGGGCCCGCGCTCGGCGGAAGGTCCCCAGCTCGTGGCCAAGGAGCCACTCTCCTGGCACCTTGGAGGGGGGAGGGGGGGGAGCGGCAGGCCGAAAGGCGGTGCTCAAACCGGTTACGTCCTCGTCTTGCTCGGTGTCGGGCGGCGGGGGCGCCCTCTCGGGCAGAGGCGCGACCCCCGGGGGCCAAGCCAAGGCCCCTCTCGAGCTCATGCGCGCGCTCGAACAACGCACACCGCCCCGGCGCCGCCGACGGCCGGGGGCCGGGAACCGACAACCCCGCCTCTCCACGGTGTCCACGCGGCGCCGGCCATCATCTTGCGGAGCGGGCCCCCGAACGGCGGCCCTTCGGCCCCCCAGCCCCGGGAGCACCCACCTCGACGGGAGCGCACTCTAGCACGGCCCCGGGAGCGCGCGGCTGCCTGCCGGAGAGCACGCCGACCGCCACCGTCCCCCCCCCCCCCCCCCTGGACCGAAGACCCCGGCGTGGCAAGCAAACAGCCCCCGGGGGAGAGCGCAGCCCTTCTCACACAGGAAGCTCCAGCCAGAGAAGGGCGGGAATTCCACCGGGCCCGTCTCGCCCCCCTCCCATCCCCGGGCGGCGCGGGGGCGAATAGTTAGGCCCGCCGAAAGGCCACCTGCCCGACAAGAGCACCCCACCCCCCATGACTAGGAAGCCCAAAGGGGCTGGCTGTCATCTGCCGGAGACCTCAGGCGCAGAGTCGGGGCGGGGAAGGGGCAGGCGGAGTGACAAAGCACTCTGCCAGGAGAGGCCGCCGCCCAAGACCCAAGTGGCATGCTTTGCCGCCGAGGGCGACACGGAGCTGGGGATGCCCGGCATGCCTTTCTTTTGGAGTGCGCCCCGGCGCGCACATTGGCCAGCCGGGCAAGACAACCCCTTTTCAGCCGGTCGAACACCCCCCCTATTGCAGAAGGCATGCCCTCCGCGCCGGGCGAGAAAGGGTGCCACAGACCGGCGTCTACTGGAAGGGCGCCTAAAAAACAGGAGGCGCAGGTGGTGCTCGGCGCGACCGACACGCCCCGGCCCCACCCCGGAAGAGGCTCCGGGGGACGATCGAGACCCCCACCACCAGGGGCCCATTCACACCCCAGGCGCGACGGCCGGGCCCGAGAAAGCCGAGCCGAGCTCGCGGCCTGCCGCACGTCAACACAAGCCGCGGCCCGAGAGCCGCCACGTGCACACACGGACGTACGCACATCGGTCGCGTCCGCGCTCCCCCCCCCCGTGCCCCTACGCCGCGGCGGGCGTTTTTGCACGGGGTGGGGGCCTTGTCTCAACTAATAAGTCCGGCCTGTGGCCCCTTTTCCCAGGGGGACCTCGGGGCAGGGCCGCCGTGGCTCGGCAAACCCCGCGCCCGTGTGTGTACACGCTCACACGCCCAAGGAAGAAGACACGAAGCAGGCCCAGGCAGGCCCAGGCAGACAGAAGCCGCTCGTCCAAGCACTCACCCCCACGTACACATGAGTGAACGGAATGCCTCGCACTCGCCCGCACCCGCCCGCACCCCCGGCCTCGGCCCCTTTTGCTGGCGCCCGCCGGGCCGGCCCCCAAGCCAAGGGGGAAAGGGGCTCCCTCGATGGGGCGAAAAAGGCTCCACAATTTCGTTGGTTACGATCATATTCACCTGAATGCCGGCAGGGTGTTTGCCCTGGCCCTCGAGCGCAACTGAGTTACTTGGGAATACACTTTTGGGATCTTCCATCGTGATATATGGGAATATCATTCGGTCTTTCCTCTATCCGCGGGCACTCCCTTGTCACGTTGTTCTTCGAGAGTCGGATGATTTCCCCTTGCCCCCGTGCCGGCGGCCCGCCCCAGCTCGAGGATGACAACTTGAAGTGTCTAGAAGAAGCTCTCTCTCCACGCCCTTTGTCGCTCCGGCCGTGTGCCGGCCGGCCTGTGGCCGGGGCAGGCGGGCGGCCCGCGGGCTGCTGTCCGACCGTAGCCGGCAAGGCTTCACGGTGCCGCATCCCCGGTATTTGCTGTGTGGCGCAATGGCGTCGGTGGGTCGGCCGACGGGGAGATCGGCCTGCCTGGGCATTCTCACCCTGGGCGCAGGCGGGGCAATGTTCGGGACTCGAGCCGGGCCAGCTCCGGTGGGGGGCCGGGGGGGGGGGGGGCAGATCGGCGAGTTACAACGCCCCGCCGGCGACAGGCCTTCCCACCCTCCGGGGCTCCTCACTGGTCGCCCCGCTCGGCCTGGCTAACGTCACATATATCCCTCATTCGGGCCGCTGGCGTCTCGGATCGGTTGCCTCTAGGTGCCAACTCGCGGGGACAGGGGCACCCTCCCGCACCTTCGGCCCTGTCCGCCTCTCGCGCCTCTTGCCGTGGCCGGCCAGCCACCCAGGGGAGGACGGCCGAAAGCCCGAGAGCCAAGCAGCACCGCCGTCTCGGCAAGCTCCCCGGCCGACATCCACCAGCCTCGTCCCTCCTCTCCTGCCTTTCCCCCCTTCCCCTTTGTTGTATCTGGCCCCCCCTCCCCCCCCCCCCTCCTCGCCTCTGCATCCACCCCTCCCTCCCGGCGCGCTCCCTCAAGGTACTCCCGCCGTTGATGCTGCTTGCTGCATGTCTCCGCTTTTGCACCCTGCGCGCCTGCCGTTTGGTATACTGATCGCGCGCCCTGACGACCTGATATGCACGGGGGGGAAAAAAAAAGACAGCATCGCTCCCCATCCCACCATGGCCACCACCGCTGCCATCGCCACCAAGGTCGATTTCGCCGGCAAGGGCGCCTCCGAGGCCGGCCCCACCCTGGCCGACGTGGTCGCCGCCAAGAACCTCTCCTCTGCGGAGACACGTATTACCGCCCTCGAGAAGATCCTCAGCCACTGTGCGTGCCCGACTCCCCCCCCCCCCCCCCCCCTCTTTGCCCACATTCGGCACACCTGTCACCTCCCTGTCGGCTTTCGGTGGATGCGCCTCTAACGTGCAGATGCACATGTCCTTCACGGGCGCCCGCTCGCCGCCACTACCGCCACCAATCAGCCTCCATGGCCGAGGAGACCACTCGTGCCAAGGAGCATGCTCTCCTGGCCCTGGGTGAGCAGTTTTCCGAGCTCGGGTGCGCACCACCAACAAGACCCTCCCTTTGTCCCGCCCTTCCCCTTTTTCGTCCAGGCACCTGTGTCCCCCGCTTTTTTGGCCAGCGGAAGGTGGATGATCGGCATGCGCCGCCACCTGTCACTCCAGCCCCAATCCGTCAGCCTGCTGACCTTGCCTCTTGCATACACGCCCAGTGATGGCCAGCGCCTCCAGACCCTGGTCCGCACCTCTCGCGAGTTCCTCAACTCCATTCCCAAGGCCCGCGCCTCGAAGATCGGTGCGTCGACTCCCAGACGCGTGTCCTGCCTCCTTCCGCCCTTTCCCCCAGCACGCGCATGCTGATGCCCCCACGCCGACCCCATCCTGGCCCACCACCAGTCCGCGACATGGTCGACCTCCTTGGCAAGATTCCCAACGCCCTGGACCTCCAGATTCAGACAACTCGTGAGGTGCTCCTCTGGGCCGAGGAGGATCGCAGCGCCTTCTTCCGCCAGTCGCTCGAGCTTCGCCTGGCCGCGCTGTGCGTTTTTCCCTGCTCCCCCAAATGAGCCCTCCCCTTTGGAGGGCCACTGCTCCCCCCCCCCCTCCCCCCGACACTCACCCACGCACGCACGCACACACACACACACACACACACACACACACACACACCTTCGATATACACGCCGTATGAAGTCTGCTTGAGGCCCGCCAGTTTTCCGAGGCCACCGGGCTCATCGACTCCCTGCTGACCGAGGTCAAGCGCCTGGATGACAAGCTCCTGCAGGCGGAGCTCCTGCTGCTGGAGAGCCGAGTTTACTTCGAGCTGCGCAACTATGCCAAGTCCCGGGCGTCCCTGACCGCCGCGCGGTCGTCCTCCAATGCGGTGTATTGCCCGCCTCCCCTGCAGGCGGCTCTGGACATGCATAGTGGCATTCTTCATGCGCAGGAGAACGACTTTAAGACCGCCTTCTCCTACTTTTACGAGGCCCTGGAGGCGTACACCGGGCCCAAGTTCTCCGACAACAAGCAGGCCCTGCGCTCGCTGCTGTACATGCTTCTGTCGAAGATCATGATGGGGGCCGTGCGTCGCGCATCTCGCCCCTCCCCCCCTGGGGGGGGGGGGGAGTCTTTGTATTGCTGCCAGTTGTTCTTGCCACCTCCATCATGCACGGTTGTTAACACACCCCTCTTTCATTCTGCCCCCCCCCCCCCCTTTCTCTTCCCTGCTCCGCACTCATCCAATCCCATGCCGGTGCCCAGCCGGAGGACATTAGCGTCGTCCTCGGTGGCAAGGCCGCCCTGCGTATTGTGGACCATGCGGACTCTCGGGCCCCGGTGGAGGCCATGCGCGTGATTGCCCAGGCCGCTGGTGCTGCCTCGCTGTCGGACCTGCGTGCCGCGCGCGAGGAGCAGCCCCACTCGGCAGGTACGCTCATACGCCCGGCCTCTCGGTCACTCCCCTTCCGATCACCCCTGTGCACCTGCTGCTGTGTCGCACATTGCTCCGCCCCATGGGCTGCTACTGTCTGTCGCTAACGCAAATACGCCTCCTCCTCCCCGCTCTCTCTCTCTCTCTCTCCCGCCGCCCTCTCCTTAGTTCTCTCGGTCGATCCCTTCCTGTCGATGCATCTGCGCAACCTCCAGAGCGACCTGCTGGAGAAGAGCCTGCTGCGCGCGCTCCTGCCCTACTCGCGCGTGGAGCTGTCTCGGATTGCCGAGCTTGTGGGCGTCGACGAGACCACCATCGAGACCAAGTGCGTCCCACTGGGGAAGTCTGCCATATGCTAGCTTGGTGGGGGGGGGGAGGGGGGCCTTTCGCCGGGGGGAAAGGGAAATGAGACACTGACCACCGGCCACACCGGTCCCACCATGTCCATCCATCCATTCCCCAACACAGGATTTCGCAAATGATTCTCGGGAAGCGCTTCCGCGGCGTGCTCGACCAGGAGGCCGGGTGTCTGGAGATCTTTGATCCTGAGGACGATGACGTACGTGCCGGAATCTATGCCCACCACCCCGGGCTGGCCAGAAGCGGGGCATCCCCTGTCAGAAAGGAGTGCCATCTACTCACCACCAGTCCCTCTCTCTCTCTCTCTCCCTCCCTCCCTATCTCTCCTTCTCCTCGCCCCTGTATAGACCCTTTACGTTGAGGCTCGCGGTGTCATTGAAAACGCCGGATCTGCTGTTGACGCGCTTTTCAGCCGCGTCGCCAAGCTTAACTAAGTCCTTGGCCCGTCCTGCTGAAACAGAGGATGGAGCGGATCCTCCACCTGCCACCCAATCCCCGTCATGCCGAGGTGGAGTGGGGAAATCTCCCTCCTTTTTTCTCCCCCCCCCCCCCCCCCTTGTTCCCCACGTGCACACGCGCTAGCCGATGTTCACACCCGTGCATGCAGACACAACGCCCCCCACCTCTGTGCCTTGCTCTGGCCGATCTGTATTTTGTAGCTCCCCGTGCTCTCCTCCTTCTCCGTGCTGCTGCCCCTCCGTGCAATGTCCTTTCCCCCCCTGCATGGCTCATCCCCTGCCTCTCGTGCAGCGGCGTCCTCTCATTCGAATAAACATACAACATCCCCCTGTAATGAGTGGCTCCTTTGCCAAGCCCTGTCCCCTCTCCTGGCCATTTTTCTCCCATCCCGCGCGCGGTGGACGTCCTCCTCTGTGCCGGGGACTCTGAAAAGGGGAAACCAAAGATCTGGCGGGGAGAGATATTGCGACATCATGACCCAAAACCGGGGTGGCACACGCATGACTTCGATGTTTTGGTTTTATTGAGACAACAGGGGAGGAGGCGAAACGCGGCGGTAGAAATGTGCTCGTTGGTGGGAAATGAGAATGATGCGCGCTTGCCTGTGCGTGTGTGTGCGTGTGTGTGTGTGTGTGCGTGTGTGTGCCCGTATGTGCGTGCCCCTGCGAGCCCATATGTACATGAGCATGCACGCACAAGTGGCACGAGGGGAGGGGGAACATACAATATCGCATGGGAGAAAGGCGCACACTCACCACGCCAGGGCATGTGAGCGAGGACATATTTGGACCCCAGCAGCAGGAGGAAAGGCCAAGGGCAGGTGGGAGGTGTGGAGGAGGGAGGAAAGCGAAGAGAGAGACACACACACACACACACACAGGCACATGAGCACGCGGGTGCCGGCTCGAGGTTGGGCGCGCGCACAAGGCCGTGCACAGCACACAGCTGCAACTGCGCATGCACAGGGAGGAGAAGTGCGTGGCACATACACACACACACACACACACACACACACAAGCCGGAGGGCCACCCACACGGGAGAAATGAGAGACGGAGTCCCCGACACACATGTGCAAACAGGCGGCCCTACACAAACAAACACAAGCAGCCAGCGTCGAGTCCCGCACGCACACGCGCAGAAAGAGAGGGAGGGAGAGAAGGAGCGGGGAGGAGGGGGAGAGGGAGAGGGAGGGCAGTCGGCGCAGTGCGACGCGCAAATGGCTCAGTGTGAAGAGAGGGGGAGAGGGAGAAGAGGAGGGGTGGGGGGGGAAAAGGGGGGGAAAGGGGGACATATGAGGGGAAGAGCACGGGAAACAGGCTCATGCGAGCACAGGGGCATGCACACGAAGTCACGAGGAAAACGGCGACGAGGGGACGCCGCCATCCCCGGCCTGAGGCTGTTTCTCCGGCCCTTAGCAGCATTTCCGGCGGTTGTCCTCCTCGCCCAGGTTGACCGTCTTGCTGGAGGTATCCTGCGAGCGGGGAGCCGCGGTGGCGGCATCGGACTTGGGAATGGCCTCCGCCACGCGGGTGAAGATGAGCTTGACATTGGCATCGGTCTTGGCCGAGGCCTCGACAAAGAGGAGCTTGTTCTCCGCGGCATAGGCGCTGGCCTCCTCCTCGGACACCTGGCGCGAGTGGCTCAGATCCAGCTTGTTGCCAGCCAGGGCAATGATGATGTTGGGCGGGGCCTGGCGCTGAAGCTCACGGACCCAGGACTTGGCCCGGGTGAATGTGCTGGCATCGGAAATGTCATAGACCACCACCGCGCAGTGGGCGCCACGGTAGTACATCGGTGCCAGACTGTGGTAACGCTCCTGGCCGGCGGTGTCCCAAATCTCGAACTTAACCGTCGTGCCGTCGCTGCACTGCACACTCTGGGTCATAAAAGCGGCTTCGGGAAGGAGGTCAAAGGGAGACACAGAGGGGGGTGGTTAGGGGGGAGGCAGGGGGGGGGGAGATGGTGTATGGACGTGTGCGTGTTTGCGTGTGTGCGTGTGCTCTGACGGTAGGGCAGGGAGAGAGAGAGAGAGAGAGAGTCGACATACCACCGATGGTGCTCTCCTGGAACTCTTGGAACTGACCGCGCACAAAGCGCAGGGCCAGCGAGGACTTGCCGACGGAGGAGTCGCCTGGAAGGGGAAAGAAGCAGATGACGAGAGGGTGGATGCGGATGGGTGGCACGCGCCGAAGGTGGGGGACAGGGATGAGTCGGAGTCCCGGGCAAAGGGGGGATTGTTGGGTGTGAAAGGAAACTGCGGAAGAGGGAGAGGCACGCACCGAGAAGCACCAGCTTGTACTGGAAGAAAGACCGGTTGTTGCCGGACACGGCCATCGAGGTGGGCCGGTTCGCCATTGTGGAAACTGAGGGGCCATCAGGTGTGCATATGTGTGAGTGGCGGGTGGCAGGGAGTCGCGTTCATGGGACAGATGAGGGGAGGGGGGGCGACAGTGAAGGAGAGGGCGGGAGATGCGGAAGAGGGGGGGGGCTTACCTAAGGGGAAAGGGGAGGTGTAAGAGGAGACGTGTTGTCACACGAAAGCAGAGGGTGATCTGGGGACGGGGCGACAATTAAGCAGGTTCAAGATGGCAAACGGGGGGGGGGGAGCGGGAGATCGGATGTGAGTTTGAGCAGGGCACTTCTAGCTGAGGAGAGAGGGAGGAGGGAGGGAGGGGGTGGGACGGAAAATGGGAGGGTAACCATGTGGTGTCCCCCTCAAGCGAAAAGGAGGATATCCCGAGGGAAGGCCATCCCAAGAGAGGCAGTGGGGGGGAGGGGGGGAAGGGACAAGTTGTGGCCAGAGTAGGGAGGAAGAGAAAGGGCACTTGCATCAACCAGCTACAGAGGGAGGAGAGCGGCAGAGCGAGCGGGGCATGTATGTGTGGGGCGTCGAACAGCCCCCCCCCCCCCCCAGAAGCCTGGAAAGAACAGAGATGGGGGGGGGGGGCAGGTGGAAACCACGCGCCAGGGGAGAGGGGGGCCGGAGGAGGGGGAACTACGTACCGAGAGGGGCGAAAGAAGGAGAGGGCCAAGAGAGGGGGCGGCGCTTTCACAGGGCAGAAGGGGCAGGGGGGATGGAGAGCGCACAGGGGAGGGGAGAGGGGGAGAGCGCAAGCGCGAACAACCAAGAAAACGGAGCGGGGCGGGGAAGGAGGGAGAGAGCGAGGAGGAAAGGATGCGGAGTGGGTGGGAGAGCGAGGGGAAGAGGAGGGGGAGGGGCGATAAGTTCGTTGCCAGATCGGCCTGGCCCTGGTGCAGGGGTGGTGTGGCAGAAATTTTTCGCCACCATGCCCTCCGGGGGGGGGTGGGGGCAAACAGCTGGGCGCGGAGGAGAGCGAGGGGCTTCTCCCAGGCTCCAGGCGGATTCTGGCCCCGCCCCGGCCTTCCCCTGTTACGGTGCTAAGGGGGGGGGGGGGGGCCGCACAGAAGCCGCGGGCCATCCCCCTGCTCCCCCGGCCTGTGTGTGTGTGTGTGTGTTGTGCGTGCGCGTGAGCATGTGCGCGCCTGCGTATGCGTGTATATTTGTGCGTAGCATATATGTGCCCGTGCTGGGAGCTGCCGGCTCTCGCGCCCGCCCGGGGGGGGGGGGGGGGGGGGGGGGGGGGGGGGGGGGGGGGGGTGACGCCGGGCGCCGGGGGGGGGGGGGGGGGGCCGGGCACACCCACCCAAGGGTCGGATGGTGGCAGGCTCTCACCTAAGGGCGAGTCCGTTCCCGAAGAGAGTCGAGGGGCCGGCAGCGGCGGACGCCAACCCCCCGCCCAGCCCTCTCGAGCCGGGTTCTGAGGACTGCCTCCTGACGACACTCGACGCGCGGCAACTGGCGGAAAAGCGAAGGGTGTGGCCTGTTGCGTCGGGGATGGCCCCTCCCCCCCCCCCCAGTCCCCCCGCCACCGCTTGGGGGCATCCTTGTAGCGGCCACACCACAAGCACACGCATGCACACACTTGCACACGGACAAACACCGTTGCCGCCGTAGGGAGGGCGGGAGACAGAGGGAACTCGGCTACAGGCGCGTGGCGCGGCCTCTCTCTCTCTCTCTCGCGGGCCCTGCGCAACGTCAGATAAAGGTGCTGGGGGGCGGGCGGGGGGGGAGGGAGATCCACGCGCACGCCAGCCGCTTCTGGCCTGATTCCCCAGCCGCCTTGGGCCCGAGCTGCGGCTGTTGCTGTTGCTGCTGCCCCATGCAGGAGGGCGGCGTGGGTCTTCTCTCGACAAACATATCACTCGCCCAGCTCCCGGCCGCGGCTCCCACCCCCCTCGGGCCGACCTGGACACTCCTGGCGTGTGTGTCGGCAGCCCGGGAGAAGATGCCCCCACGGCGCACCCAGCCCTTGCCCCCCCCCCCCCGGGGGGGGGGGAGGGGGGCGAGCGGACGATGGAATCTACGTGGCGGGCCAGCAAAGTTGCCCCGGGCCGGGGCGGGTGGCGACCGCCGCCGGGGGATGGGGATGCGCGGGTGGAGCCGGAGGAAAAGCCCCGGCGGAAGATCGCCCAAGCGCGGGCGGCCGGGCCAGGGCAGCCAGGCAGGGCAAGGGGGCGGAGAGATAGATGCGCGCACCGGGGAGGAGCTCCAGAAAGATAGATTTGGGTAGGTTGCCGGCGCAAGATGTCACAGATGCGGCGACGGGGGACTTCCGGCAGGGCCAACGAGCAAAGCGGCCTGGAGCCCTCTGACGGCTTGGCAGCCCGGGGGTGATAGGGCCGGAGACTATCTCTCCCTTCCGGCCGGACGCCCTCCCGGGTGTCCCTGGCCAAGTGCGCCCCCCCCTCCCCCCCGCCTGCGCAGCCCTCTCCAGAACCCGTCCAGGCAGGTGGCCCCCGGGGGCGGCCGGCGGCGGGGCTCCACCGCAGGTGGGGGCTCAAACTCGCGGCCGGCCACGGCATTCCAGAGCTGGGCTGGTGGGAAGGCGGGCGGCTGGCCTGGCGCTTAGAGGATGTTCCAGTCGTCGCAGGGGCAAGGTGTGCAGGGACAGTCACGCCCCAGCCCCGCCCCGCCCCCCCCCCCCCCCGGCTGGGGGCGGAGGGATAGTGGTAGGGGCACACACACACACACACACACACACACACACACACCCATTTTGGAGGTGCCCGTCCGCAAAGATGAACGTCAGCTGGCAAACATGTTTATAAATATATGTTCACTTAAAAATGTTGTCAATATCTCGCGCCCGGTGGTATCTTTGTCCCCGGAGGCGAGAGCCCGGGGATGTGTCCGCTGCTGGCGACGAGGGGTCGGCGGAGACGCAGATTCGGGCCAGATAGTGTTTGTTATTGTCTTGCCCGCCCGCCCGCCTGCGCGCCCCGCCCCGCCCCCGCGCCCACCGGTCGGGGTTGCCCTGCCCCGGGAAAGAGTGCCCGAACTGGAGAGGACATCCCACCGAAGGGCCGAGGCAACTGTGGCAGCCGAGCGAAGAAAACCAAGCGTGGGCCCATGGAAGGGGCCGCCTGCTCGTCGGTCTCCGCACACCGAAGCCTGCCCGGACTTAACCAATCTAGCAGCCGTAATCGCTCCGCCCCTCTTTCTCGGCCTGGGGGCCCTCTCGGCCAAAAGAGGCCCGGGAAAAAAGCACCGGTGAGGTGTACGAAATGGCCCGTCCCGAGGCAGGCTGGAATGTGCCCCCGCCCCCCCCCGTCTTGGCCCATCTCCCGGAAGCCACCCGCCGTGCCACCGCCACCACTGCCACCACCGCCACCACCACATCATCCCGGCCGGGGTGGAGGACGTTGTTGCCGTGACGCCCACTGAGCGGGGGCGGGGGGGATGGGGGCCGATCTCCCGGGGAGGGGCGAACGATCTGATGGGACGCTTCGAGAAAAGGGTTGTCGGCCGGAGTGACGCGCTTCAGGGAAAGTGTTACCCCAGTCCTCGGCCTTTTTGAGAGGGACATGGTGGCTGCGCGTCCGCGCCCCTCGCAGGCCGCCGACGGATGGGCGCCCAAAAGACAGCCGCCGGAGCAGACTGCCCCCCCCCCCCGGGGGGAGGGGGGGGCGGCGGGGGCAGGCTCACCGGTCGAGGGATTTTGCGCTGGGGCCACAAATGGCGACAGGTAGCTGCTATTATCTCGTCGTGCGGCCCCTCCTCGGCCTGTTTACTTTGTGCCGCCGGCCGGGCCGGGCCGGGCCGGTCGTCGGGTGGTAGTCCACCCCGAAGGGCGTGCCGGGGGGAGGGAGACCAGCGCTGAATTTTATTTCATCCGCCGACAACTGGGTCTCTATCCCACGGCGGGTCTGTTCTTTGTGACGCCCCCCGGCCCCCACCCCCGGCCCAGGAACAGGGGGGGGGGGGGGGGGCGGAGGCCGAGGCAGTCTGTGAGCTTGGCCGAGGGCCTAACGCCGTCTCAGCCAGCCGAAGGATGTGCCCCGTCTTTCGGCGGGCCGAAACCAAACCGCGTAGCATGCCCGGGGGGGGGGCTTCTTCTCTCCGTGCTCGGGACCTCTTTCTCTCGTGGATGGCCTTCTTCCGGCCTTGCTCCGGCCGCTGGCCGGGCGGGCAGCGCGTCCCCTCCGGCCCAGCGTCCCCTGGTGGCGGCTGCATCTCCGCAGCCACAAGCACTGGCAGTCGGGTGCACCTGTGGAGTGCCGATGGTCCTGATATTTCGAAAGGGGAAAGCACCCGCAAAGAGCATTGACCGGGGCTGGATCGGGCAGCCCCTCGTTCCTTGGGGGCCCTGTTGCACTCGCCCTCCTCTCTCTCCCTCTCTCTCTCTCTCTCTCTCTCTCTCTCTCTCTCTCCCTCTCCCTCTCCCTCTCTCTCTCTCTCTCACTCTCTCTCTCTCTCTCGCTCGCTCGCTCGCTCGCTCTCCTTGTCGCCTTTTCCCACCGGCCCGAACGTCCGCCCCGCGGCCGGTGCTCCCCCGTACTCAAGCCCCATCCCCTCGGGATCTGAAAGGAGGACTCCGCGCACGTACACCGCCATACACGTACACCACGGACATAGACGCTTGCACATACCGCCTGGACGTCTCTCGAGGCGATCGGGGATCATGCCACGAGGAGCACCCCGCCATCTGCACGAAATGGCCGTGCCCATGTTGCGTGTTAGTGGTGCCCTCCCTGCCTCAGGCTCGGGGTCCACCATGGCCCCTTGTCATGCACCTCTCGCCCCCTGGCTCGGCATGCTGCGCCCCACCGTCCACAGGCCCTTAATTGTGGCCCCACGGGTCCAGGAGTACCCCCCCCCCCCCACCTCCCTCTCTGTGTACGAGGGGCGGACGTTCATGTGTACCGCGCGCGCGCGCCCTGGTCGACTGGTGCGGCAGATGGGCCGCGCCTGATGGCGATCCTTCCTCGACAAGGGGCAAGGGGGCGCCGGATCACGGTCCGAGAATGTGCCTATCCCCGGCCGGGGCTGGGCCGCCCTGAGACACTACTGCCCCGTATTCGGAAGGCAGACGTGCCCCTCGCCCCTCCGCCCGCCCCTGCCGGAGGCGGCCCCGGCGTTGTGCCATCCGCCGCACTCACCGCCGCCTCGCCGTTGCGTCTGAGCCCAGTCGGAGAGAGATACACAGCCCCCCTCCTGTCGCTCTCACGTACAGGCGACGGAATATCGCAGAGACACACACACACACACACACACCCCGCCAGCCGCCTGCTGGTCGCGACACACCGACGTGCCCAAAGAAATAGACCCGCGCGTGCGTGCACGCCTCGTCCACGGCGCACGCCTGCACATGCCCCTCCCAGCCTCATGCACACGCCCACCATACGCCCGCGATCCCCCGCCCCCAAGATCAAGCATCAGCCACTGGCCAAGCAGGCGGTGGAGAGTATTCCACACACCCACATTCACATCCCATGATGCCCCCCCCCCCC